ATCACCTGAGCTCAGGAGTTCGACACCAGCCTGGGCAACACGGTGAAACCCCGTCTCTACTAAAAATACAAAAAAAAATAGCTGGGCATGGCAGCGTTCACATGTAGTCCCAGCTACTCGGGAGGCGGAGGCAGGAGAATCATTTGAATCTGGAAGGCGGAGATTGCAGTGAGCTGAGATCGCACCACTGTACTCCAGCCTGGGCGACAGAGTGAGAGTCTGGCTCAAAAAAACAAACAACAACAACAAAAAACCTGTTCTGAACTGTATCATTTCTCTATTGTGGCATGACAAATTACCCCAAAACTTGGTACCTTAACATAAGTATTACTTTATAGGCCGGGCGCGGTGGCTCAAGCCTGTAATCCCAGCACTTTGGGAGGCCGAGACGGGCGGATCACGAGGTCAGGAGATCGAGACCATCCTGGCTAACACGGTGAAACCCCGTCTCTACTAAAAAATACAAAAAACTAGCCGGGCGAGGTGGCGGGCGCCTGTAGTCCCAGCTACTTGGGAGGCTGAGGCAGGAGAATGGCGTGAACCCGAGAGACGGAGTTTGCAGTGAGCTGAGATCCGGCCACTGCACTCCAGCCCGGGCGACAGAGCAAGACTCCGTCTCAAAAAAAAAAAAAAAAAAAACATAAGTATTACTTTATTATTATCTCTCATAGTTCTGAGAATTGGTGTGGTTCTCACACAGGGTCTCTCATGCAGTTGCAGTCAGATTAGGGGCTGGGGCTGGAATCCTTGCAAAGGTTTCCTCACTCAGAAGTCTGGTGGTTGATGCTGGCTGTCTGCCTGAACACCCACACCTGGCCTCTCCATTGGCCTGGGCTTCCTCAAAGCATGGGGGCTGGTTTTAAGAACAAGTATCCCAAGAGAACTAGGTGGAATCTGTGTTTCACTTTTTATGATTTAGTCTCAGAGTTCACACAGTGTCTCTCCCTCCATTGCCACAGATTCAAGGATTAGGGAAACAGACTCTACTTCTAGATTGAAGGAGTGCCAATGTCACATTGTAAAGACTAGCATATACGATGGAAGATCTTCCAGCATCTAGAAAAATTCAATTAGACACATCACTTGTTCTGTTGTTAATAAATATGTATAAATATAATTTGAACAGATTTCTTATAAGACTCCAATTTTTTAAATTGTTGCCATATCCTGTTGAAAAAAAAATTGTGCTAGATATTTTCTGTCTGCCCTGTTAGAACTACTCTCCACTGGTCTCCATGTTCTGTGTCCCTGAGTGCTGGCCTGAATGGACTGCATTAGTAAACTCTCTTGCCCTCTGCCTTCCTGGGTCCTGCCAGTGCATAGTACCTATATAAGATCAAAGGTTTGGAAGAAATGAGGTCAAGGTATTTATTCCCTAGCTGGATTATGGATTTGGCATATTTCTGTAGGCACCACTTCCGTCTGAAGACTATCTTCTATCCCTACATTTTCTTTTTTTTTTTTGAGACGGAGTCTCTCTCCATTGCCCAGGCTGGAGTGTAGTGGCGTGATCTCAGCTCACTGCAACCTCCACCTCCCAGGTTCAAGCAACTCTCCGGTCTCAGCCTCCCAAGTAGCTGGGACTACAGGCACCTTCCAACACACCCGGCTAATTTTTACATTTTTAGTAGAGACAGAGTTTCACCTTGTTGGTCAGGTTGGTCTCGAATACCTGACCTCAGGTGATCCACCTGCCTCGGTCTCCTAAAGTGTTGGGATTACAGGCGTGAGCCATCGCGCCTGGCCTAACCCTATACTTTCTGGGTTCTCATTGCTGCTCCCTTCTTTTGCCTCTTTAGGGATTGTAGTAGTGATGGATCCCCCTATTGCTAGCCCCGGCATGCTTCACTCTTTGGTTTTTCTTACCCAGTCTACAACTTTGTAAGCAGTAATTACTTAGCATACATAAGCCTAGTAATATAACTTTCAAAACCTCTAATTCTGATAAGGGATCTTACTGAAAATAATTTTATAATTGACTTTATTTTTAAGAGACAGGGTCTCACTATGTTATTTAGGCTGATGTCGAACTCCTGGCCTCAAGTCATCCCTCCATTCTCAGCTTCTTCCTCTGAGTAGCTGGGATTACAGGCATGAGCCACCATGCCTGGTTTATAATTAACAGTTTTCTTAAAGAATGTAAATACCCATAATATTGCTCTATCAAATCATCTATAACATAGAAAACAATCCTGTTACTCTGCCATATTTGCTTTTTTTTGAGACAAGGTCTTGCTCTGTTGCCTTGCCTGGAGTGCAGTGGCACAATCTTGGCTCACTGCAACCTCTGCCTCCTAGAGGATCCTCCCACCTCAGCCTCCCGAGTAGCTGCGACTACAGGCACCTGCCCCTATGCCCGGCTAATACTTCAATTTTGGGGGTTGGCACGGTCAGAGGTAGAGACAGGGTCTTGCTCTGTCGCCCAGGCTGGTCTTGAACTCCTGGGCTCAGGTAATCCTCCCACCTCAGCCTCCCAAAGTGCTGGGATTACAGGAGTAAGCCACAGTGCCTGGCCAAATATTTGTTATTTTAATAGAGGTTAAGAAATGTCATTTAAATTAACTACATTAGGCCGGGCTCAGTGGCTCATGCCTGTAATCCCAACACTTCGTAAGGCCTAGGCGGGTGGATCACTTGAGGTCAGGAATTCCAGGCCAGCCTAACCAACCGTCTCTACTAAAAATACAAAACTTAGCCAGGCGTGGTGGCAGGCACCTGTAATTCTAGCTACTCAGGAGGTTGAGGCAGGAGAATCACTTGAACCCAGGAGGCAGGTTGCCGTGAGCTGAGATCGCCCCACTGCACTCCAACCTGGGTGACAGAGCGAGATTCGCTCAAAATTTTGGGTTCAAAAAAACCCAAAATTAACTACGTTAAACAAGTAATTACACTTATTTAATTACATTTATGTAAGTGCTGCAAAGATGAAAATGTATGAAGAGCTGTAACAGGGGAAACTGACTTTTCAAGTGGTGAGCTGGCTTCCCTAAAGAAAGGCATTTAAGGAAATCAGAGGAAGGAGGGGAATAGGTTTTTGTTTTTGAGACAGGGTCTCACTGTCACCCAGGCTGAGATCATGGCTCACAGCCTCCTCGTATCTCCCATACATGTCCAGGTTTCTCCACCCACTGCACCTGCGCACAGGCCTAGCCCAATCAGACACACCCCAGGACTGCCAGGGGCGGGGACTGTCTTCTCCGCTCTAGAGGTACCCCAGGAAGGGCCGGTTACGTTTCGTCCGGAAAAGTGAGGCCCGGGGTTCCACTTAATTGTTACCGGAAGTGGGGGGAAGCATTGCCAGGGGAGGGCAGAGACTGTGACTGACCAGACGGGTGGCAGGCACTTGCCTGGGGGTAGCGAAGTAGTGGCGTTTGCGGCTAGGTCTGTCCTAGAGAAGGATGCGATGCCGGGGGGAGACGGAGGCAGAGACATTGGGACTGGGTCGTCGGCCAAGGGCCTCTGAGGCCAAGCCACCGCCCCCCGAAGACGCTCCTCCTCAGGGCGAAAGCGCAGAGACCGCAAATCCTGGGCGCTGCTACGGAAACTGATGCAGAGTCTAGGAGACCAACTCAGATTGCCACCTGGCCAGGCCCATGCACATTGGTAAAGAAATGTTTGAAATGTGTATTATTTCCACGTTTATCTGTGTATTATTCACTTGTGTTTTCTGTGTTTAATGTGAAGCCTAGAGTTGACCTTTGGAGCTTCAGCAGCAGAGTGCTAATTTTTCTTGCAAGCTATGTAAGTAGTGAAAGGAAGGTGACAATGGCTACTGGAAATTCACCGTAGTCCCTCCTCTTCCCCAGAAGTGGTCACAATTATAGGTGCTTTCCTGTCCCCTGCTCTACTGCACAGCCCAGGTGCATTTATAGGAAAAAAACCATGGAGATGGAGACTGATCCCTAATAACATTCTATAAAATGCCAGCCTTCAAAAAAACCAAATATCCTTGTAAGAAAGTTAAAACATTTGGTCAAACTATTATTTTAGGCCAGGCACAGTGGCTCACACCTGTAATCCCTACACTCTGGGGGTGCCACAGGAGCAGCATTGCTTGAAGCCACAAGTTCAAGACCAGCCTAGGGTAACACAGAAATCCCACTCATCTCTACCCCCAAAAATTAGCCAGGTGCGGTGGCATAAGCCTATATGGCAGAAGCTGTGGCAGGAGGATTGCCTGAGCCCTGGAGTTGCAGCAAGCTGTGACTGACTACATTCCAGTCTGGGTGATGGAGCAAAAAACCCTCTCTCTAAAAATTAAAGAGTCTATCCATAAAAATCAGTCCACTTATTTAGACCAGCCGTCTACATTTTCCAGTTCATAAAGTGTAATACCTACTTCTTAAAATTTTATGTGCTGAAGGGTCAGACACAGTGGCTCACGCCTGTAATCCCAGCACTTTGGGAGGCCGAGGCAGGCAGATCACAAGGTCAGATCGAGACCACCCTGGCTACACAGTAAAACCCCATCTCTTATTAAAAACACAAAAAACTTAGCCAGGTGTGGTGGCGGGCACCTGTAGTCCCAGCTACACGGGAGGCTGAGGCAGGAGAATGGCATGAACCTGGGAGGTGGAGCTTGCAGTGAGCTCAGAACACACCACTGCACTCGATCTCAAAAAAAAAAAAAAAAAAAAAAAATTTCTTTAGAATACTTTCAAAGGCATAAATGTTAACTACACCACACAGATTTTACAGCTTAATGAGGGGTTCTATTTCTCCTCTTTCTGGCTTAGTTTCTTGCCTTGAAGCCCAGTATTCCATAAATTTTTTAGGGCAATTTTTCAAGTTTGAAGTATTGACCTCAACTGGGAATCCTGTTAAAATTCAGTTTCTAATTCAGCAGGTCTAGGGTAGGGACTTGATTGAGATTCGGCATTTCTCAAAATCCCACTTTGGGCCAGTGAGCCTTGGACTTGAGATTAACAAGGCTTTAATCAACACACGCCTCCTTGTATCTCTACAAAGACCCATTAGGTAATTACACATAGAATAGAGACTAAGAATTAAAACAAGAAATTTATTAAATATACAAAACAGGAATACAGTTCAATTACTGTGTCTAAAAAATTTCATTTTTACATAACCAAGAAAATATTTACAACTATATACAAAAGACTCCCACCTGTGTATAACCTTTGGTCCATCTGTGCTATTTCTCATATCTGCAAGAGAAACCTAAAATGTTAATATTTGAGTATTAAGTATTTACATCTTTTTGTGTTGGTTTTTAAATGTACAAGTACCCCTGAATGGCTCAAAGGGATAGGATAATGCTAGAAACACTAACTTGCAATAAAGTGCAGTTTTCATGCAAACTTAGCCATTAGTTTTCTCCTTTCAGACAGGTATCCACAGTCCATATGGACTTTTTTTCTTATCTATTTTTGGTGATCTTGAAGATGTCTCTTCTGTGGCAGCTTTAGCTGATTTTTGTATTGGTTTTGCTACAGAATTCTGTAAAAAAACAAATTCAGTCAGCTTCCCAAACATATAATTATACATTTTCACACAAAAAAGTACATTAAATAATCCCATATGCGAGCCTTAGCGATATCAACTGTTGGGCGTGGTGGCTCACGCCTGTAATCCCAACACTTTGGGAGGCTGAGGCGGGCAGATCATGAGGTCAGGAGACGGAGACCATCCTGGCAAACACAGCGAAACCCTGTCTCTACTAAAAATACAAAAATTAGCTGGGTGTGGTGGTGTGCACCTGTAGTCTCAGCTACTCAGGAGGCTGAGGCAGGAGAATCGCTTGAACCCAGGAGGCAGAGGCTGCAATGAGCCAAGATCACAACACTGCACTCCAGCCTGGGTGACAGAGCAAGACTGTCTCAAAAAAAAAAAAAAAAAAAGGCCAGGCGCGGTGGCTCACACCTGTAAATCCCAGCACTTTGGGAGGCCAAGGCGGGCGGATCACGAGGTCAGGAGATCAAGACCATCCTGGCTAACACGGTGAAACCCCGTCTCTACTAAAAATACAAAAAACTAGCCGGGGGTGGTGGCGGGCGCCTGTAGTCCCAGCTACTCGGGAGGCTGAGGCAAGAGAATGGCGTGAACCCGGAGGCGGAGCCTGCAGTGAGCGGAGATTGGGCCACTGCACTCCAGCCTGGGCGACAGAGCGAGACTCCGTCTCAAAAAAAAAAAAAAGATATTATCAACCAAACATAGTATGAACCTTAATTGTAGCTTGATTCAAAATGTAAAGTGAAGATACTGGGGCAGCAGGGAAACACTGGACATACACAAGGTGTAATGATTTGGGGGCTTCATTTTTGAAACCGTATTTTAAAACATTGTGATTAAGGAGTATTCTGAAGATTTCCCTTTAAAACATTTCAATAAAAAAGGGGAGACACTTAAAAGAAAGGCAAAATATCGAAACAAATGTGAATGTCAGATAGGTTAGGAACCCATTGTAATGGCCACTTGTAAACATGGCTCAAAAACAAACGATTTTAATTCTATTTAAAAACTGTGTCAGTAGGCCCCCAATTATCACCACGAAGATAAAAACACAAAGATGCAAACACATCCTAAATCCAATTTTTGAGTGATCAATGCCTGGACGTACTTACATTAGAACTAAAAGCTATGCTTCTTTGCTGGGAAGGTTTTTCACTAGGATTTCTAGGTCCATCTTCTGTTACGTTTTCTGACAGCTAGACAGGTCAAGAAAAAGTATAATTTTAAAACACATACCCTTGGTTTCTAAATCCTATATTAAAAAATAATCTAATTGTATACAAAATTTAATTGTAGACACAAAAATCAACTTGGATCTAACCATATATTCAACAGCTGAAGTAACAATTATTGAGTTTTCCCCTTAACAAAACTGATTTAGTATTAGGCTTAAGACGTTCTTCTCATAATTATTTTACTTCCCTGCTGGCAAATTTAAGTAATTTTTAAACTAGTTTTTTAATCAGTTTTCTCAGGTTGAATCAAGTTAACTTTTGAAAAGTAAAGCCGCATCAGAAATACCTAGCTTTAAGAAGCTAAGACATTTGCCAGTTAGGCACCTAATCGTCTGAACAAAGACCTTGTCTACTAATACTGAGCAAACCCACATCTGGGCCCAATTACACAGATTCATTTAGATATAGCATCTTTTTTTTTTTTTCTCGAGACGGAGTCTCGCTTTGTCACCCAGGCTGGAGTGAAAAGTACAGTGCAATTTGCTAATGCACATCCTGCACATTTGTGGAGAATTATAATAAACTTATCTGCAAATGAAGCAGGCCTCCTCTTCTGTAATCTCTCAAAACATCTGGAATATATTGCATATATTATGAAAGGGACATCTTTTTCACAGATGCCCCACCATTACAACATGTACCTTTGCTTACTTTAAAAACTGACTTTAATACTTCATACAAATAGTACCTGTCCCAAATTCTAGCATGCACATGTATCTACCAACAAAGAAAACTAAGTTTTCAGTGTGTGAACATAAACTTCAAATTAAACCTCTGATGCTTTAGCCCATGTATCAATTACCAACAGATTTTCTTCATCAATGTCTGCAGACCACATTCATGATTTCTATAAGACAGAAATAAAGCAGATAAACTATACTGTATATGCTGAGTACAGATTTGTGGGAACATAATGCTGCAAATGAAAGCTACGCACTGTAAATAGCTTAGAAAACCTGGTAACAGAATCACCGAAGTACCAGCTACAATATATTAATGGTGTTGTAAGAGTACAGTGTTAACTGAAAATGAAAAATTAAATGTATTTCTTGAGACAGGGTCTCACTCTGCTGCCCAGGCTGGAGTACAATGGTGCAATCTTGGCTCACTGCAACCTTAGCATCCTGGGCTCAAAGATCCTCCTGCCTCAGCCTCCCAAACAGCTGGCACTACGGGCATGCGCCACCATGCCTGGATAATTTTTGTATTTTTTGTAAACACGCGGTTTTTCCACGTTGCCCAGGCTGGTCTTGAACTCCTGGACTCAAGCCATCTGCCTCATTACAGGCAAGAGGCACCATGCACGGCCAAATAAAGTTCATTAATCTCCCATTTTCATGGGTACGACCTTGCTTATCTTCAGATCTGCCACTAAAGTTCATTAATCTCCCATTTTCCTGGGTATGACACCTTGCTTATCTTCAGATCTGCTACTCTGAATTTAGCACATTATATACATAGCTAGACTTCCCAAAAAGTATAGTCTAAGGTAAATAGTAAGTGGCTTATCAGATTTGACAGTTGGCTTTCTGAACGTTTTGTTGGGACAAACCTAGAATACTTACTTCAGGCTTTGCACCATTACTTGATACACCTATTCCATGGCTTGTTTCTTTGGCTACATGCACAGTTCTGAGACTAGCTGGCAAGTCAATGTTGGTTGTTCCTAAAGCTTTCGCTGCATTGGCTTTTGCTATTTCTAACAGCTCCATTCGATCTGGAAAAAAAAAAATTTTTTTTTTAATTCATTAATCTGGTAGTTTTTTTCCCCCCAAGAGAACTCAGAATTACAAAATAAGCATGTTATTTTGTGGTATTAAATGTATTAAGTCACTTGTTTATAATACGTAAAGTAAGGTTGCCCTTTAACACTGGTTTGAGCTGCGCTGGTCTACTTTATAGTTAGATTTTTTTCTCCCTACTAAATGCAGATAGAAAGTACCACAGTATTTGAGACTGTAAACCCCAAGCATGCGTGAGGGTTCCATATGCGTCCTGGCACCAATCCCCCGAGTGAACAGAGGGACAACTGTGTAACTTTATTCACTGAAAACTCAACTCTCCAGCTCACTTCTTGCTGAAAGAAATAAAATTCTTAAATAATCTTAGTTTTCAGTTTTCCTGACTAAAGGCCTGAGCGTCCTACTATTTTGTCTTTTTGTTGTAGCTAATTTTCTCTAGTTAATAGTGGTATTATTTTGCTTTTTCTTCAAAGATATTTCTGAAAACCAGGGTTTTCTGCAACAGATTCCTTATATGGTACAATTATCACAACCACTGAACCAATACTGATACACTCAAGTGTATTTCTACCACCACCCCCGGCTAATTTTTGTATTTTTACTAGAGATAGTGAGCTACGTCGGCCAGGCTGGTATGGAACGCTTGGCCTCAAATGACCCGCCCGCCTCCGGCTCCCAAAGTGCTGGGATCGCAGGCGTGAGCCACCGTGCCGGCCTCCTAAATCATTTAAGATACTCGACAATTCAATTGTATTCAGTAATAATGTCAACTAAAAGGCAGCGTGTTTTGATGTTGTTCTTCCCAATCTATAAATTTAAAACCTTTAACTTAAACATAACATTTAAAAGGCTCCACCACCAAGAACAGCCAGCCAATAGGAAAAAAGGTTCCCTACATCCTGAGCCATTTAACATCCGATTGACCTTTAACCCTGAAGAGACAGAATGCTGTCCACTAACTACATGTAATGTCCTCCCTCTTTCCTCCAACGAAAAAAATTTCCAGCACCAAAGGAACTAATATTGAAACTACACAGCAACTTTGGTTCCCTAACCTCCTCGTATACTGTCACCACACATTACCAAAACTAGAAAGGTACATGACCCACCCACCTTTTTCACTTAAGCGAAAGGGGGTTCTGCTCCGCGACCTCGTCCTGGATCTGTCCCTCCATCTGCTGCGCTCCTCCGGGTACACTGTGCGACCAAAGCCATAGTAGCGCCGCCCCCGCGCCATCGCGTACGCCCTTCCGTAGTACGACCTTTCCCGAGAGCGCGACCTGCTACGGGACCGGGACCGCGAAGGAGACCGGTAGTATCTCCTGGAGAAGCCGTAGCGCCTCTCTCGGTAACGGCGGCTGCGAGATCGCGACCGGCTCCGCGAGTATGACCGCGAGTAGCGTCTGTACTTCCGCTGGTGGCGCCTTCGGGAACGGGACCTTGACCTACTCCTCCGGCTCCGGCTCCGGCTCCGACTCCTGGACGAAAACCGACTCGAGACGCGGGAACGGGACCGAGAGCTTCTGGAAAAAGAACGGCTCCTAGACCGCGACGAGAGCCGGCTGGACCCGCCCGACCGCGAGGCGGAGGGCGAATCCTTCTCCTGCGGCGAGCCCGGCCACATGTCGTTCACGTAGTTGGACATCTTCCGCTGCGGCCTTAGCCTGCGCTTTCTCCGGAAACGATCCCGCAAGCCTCAACTCACGACTTCCTAAAAATCCCAGGGAGAAAAACAAGTCGCGTCGCGGAAGCGGGCGCCCGGCCACCCGGAAGCCACAGTCTGGGGCCCTCCGGGAGGCGGAGCCAAGGCGCGGGAGGCGGCCGCGGCGAAGGGAATCAGCCCTAAAAACTCCGCTCGGCGCCCTGAGGCCGCGGCCTCGAAGCGAAACGCTGCGTTCCCCAAACGCGAGCCCAGCACGTTTCCCGTCCCACACTCCTGAGAGACCACTGCGGCGGTCCTGAGAGACCCCGTCAGCAGAAAACTTACCGTAGGCCGTCGACGCCTCCCTCACGACTGAGAGAAAGGCCCAACAGACGCCCTCCTTTCGGAACGCAGGACTAAAAGGAGCTTTTCGTGCCCACTCTCGAACAGCGAACTCTACAACCTCCACCTCCGACGTCCGGACGCGCACTGAGAGCCTACGTCAGCAGACGCGTCGAAAGTACCAGAAGCTGGCCCCCGGCGCATGCGCAGAGACGTTCCGTAGCGGGCGTGGCTCTCCTTTCGCCCAACCACCGCCCTGCCTCCTCCCTCCGCCAAGCCGCGCCCTTGCCTCCACGGTGCTCATGCGCGATGGGGCTCCAGGGGGCGGTGCTTGGTACATCCGGGTGTCCCGTTGCCCTTGGCTTTTTTTTTTTTTTTTTCTCTTCTGTCTCTCCCCGGTCTCAGATAATTGCGGGGCAGAAAACTTCGAAGATGGGACGGTCCCGCCTGGCGCTACACCAGACTCTGGCCTTACTGCACGGGCGGGGCTGGAGTAGGGCCGGGGGAGGAGCGGCCGCAGGCTGGAGAGGGCTGGGAGCGGGTGCCGTCTGACAGGCAGGTGCCCACAGGGTCGTTGCAGCACCCGCCGCCGGGAAGTCGCAGACCCGGCCTGAGCCTCCCTGGACCCTTCCTGGCCTCTTCCTCCTGTCCTGGGTACCGCGGCGCCGGGAGACGGCGACAGAATCCACACCCCGCCATGACGGAGAGGGGACCGCGCCCTCCCCCGGGACACCCCAAGATCCCTGGAAATGCAGTATTAACGTAGAAAAGGTGTTTTACTTCCATGTTTTGGCTAGGAAGGTAATAAGGTGGAGACAAAATAAAAGGACTGACAATTGACCTTTAATCTGGGCATAAGAATGAAGTCTGAGATACCTCTTCCAAAAACTGTGTTTGGTGTAAGAATGTAAAGAAAGGTGACTATTTTACTTCTAGGGATCTACAAATGGGATGCATTTCAAACACTTCTTGTTGTAATAAAGCATAACAATTGCCTTGAAAATTGTGGGTTAATTGCTTTTTTTTTTTTTTTTTTTGAGACGGGGTCTCACTCGCCCAGGCTGGTGTGTGGTGGGACCCTCACGGCTCACTGCAGCCCAGGCTCCAGAAGAGCTGGAACTACAGGCATGCACCACCACGCTAATTTTTTTATTTTTTTAGCCACGGAATCTAACTGTGTTGTCCAACCTGGTCTCCAACTCCTGGGCTTAAGCGATTCTCCCGCCTCAGTCTCCCAAAGTGCTGGGATTACAGGCGTGAGCCACTTTGCCCAGCCTATACATTTCTTTACAAGTACATTTTGACAAAAGCCACTTTGTTTAGAGGGAGATACAAACTCACTCATATCTTATTCATCTTCATCCCACATGTCCGCAGTTCATCCACATCTCCTGAGGATGCATCATGATGGAAGTAGTTCTTAAACAGTTTCTTTCTAAATCTCAAGACAGTGAAGATCCAATGCCCATCCATCAGAAACTTTTGCCGAAAGTTCTCATAAAGCTGTGTGAGTGGACAGAAAAATAACACGAGGCCAGGCGCGGTGGCTCACGCTTGTAATCCCAGCACTTTGGGAGGCCGAAGCGGGTGGATCACCTAAGGTCAGGAGTTAATGCGAAAATTAGTCGGGCGTGGTGGCGGGCACCTGTAATCCCAGCTACTCAGGAGGCTGAGGCAGGAGAATTGCTTGAACCTGAGAGGCGGAGGCTGCAGTGAGCCGAGATCGTGCTATCGCACTCCAGCTTGGGCAACAAAAGCAAAACTCCATCTCAAAACAAATAATAATAATAACACGAGTTTCACATTTGACAAGTATAAAAATGATGTGTTAGGGGAACTAAAGTTAAACTATGCTTATGATACAGTCTTGAGCTCTTGATTATGAATAGGAAAGGATGCAACGAGTCTCTGTAGACAGTTCATTGTATCAGTCAATGTGTGCCTAAAAAATGGTGACCAGAAAAATCCTAATTTTTTTTTTTTTTTTAAGACAGTCTCGCTCTAGTGCCCAGGCTGGAATGCAGTGGTGCGATCTTGGACTCACTGCAGCCTCTGTGTACTGGGTTCACACGATTCTTGTGCCTCAGTCTCCCGAGCATCTGGGTTTACAGACGTGCATCATCACGCCGGCTAACTTTTTTTGTATTTTTAGCAGAGATCGGGTTTCGCCATGTTGGCCAGGCTGGTCTCGAAATCCTGACCTCAAGTGATCTGCCTGCCTTGGCCTCCCAAAGTGCTGGGATTACAGGCATGAGCCACTGTGCCCAGCAAATCCTGGATATTAACAGGATTTTGGAAACAGTGGGAAACATGACTTAGCCCTGGTGCAGAATGCTGGTGTATTTGTCTCAAAAACATATGCGGTCTACCTGAGTTAAAGTCTAAGGATGTCACCTTCCTTTATTTCTCTAAACACTATATATTCTCTGAGCATCTATCCACTCACCTAATTTAAAAAATTCAACTTTAGTTTTTAGAACATCTAGCACTGAATTTGTAGGCTAATTTAGGTGAAAATAACATCTTTACAATAGCAAATCTTCCCATCTAAGAATGTGACAATGTTGTAACCAAGCGAGTTAGAGAGAAACACCACATTTTGAGAAAAATTATGGAGTCCTTTATTAGCCGGTGACCGAGAGACAGCTAGCGCTCAAAATTCTCTCGGCCCCGAAGAAGGGGCTAGATTTTCTTTTACACTAAGGTCTAAATAGGGGAGGGGGGTTTAACTGAAGCAATTTTACAGAAGCAGAATAGGCAAAAAGTTTAAAAAAATTAATTGGTTATAGAAGCAGTTACAAAAAATAAACAGTTCCAGGTGCAGGGGCTTAAACTATCACTAAGAGATAAATGCAGGGGCTTTAGGTATCTTCCACCGAGCACATTCCCAGGAGCTGCTGGTACAGCCTGCCTCAATATCTTATCAGCAGGTGCATTCTTGGATGTGATTGGAGTCAGCTTGCACTAGTTATTCCCTTAGGGGGATAAAGGGGCCTGCAAGTAAAGAAACTAAAAGAGTCTGTCCGGCTCTCTGCTAGGAGAGAGTCACTCAGGTTAAAACAAGGTAGGGTAGCACAACAAGCTTTAAGTGTGCCATTTAAGTTGGGGTTTTTTGTTTGTGTCCTTCATTATGGTAGGCAAACCAATTGCCTCCCAAACATGTCCATTCCCTAATTTCCTGGAACCTGTGAATATGTTACCTTAAGGTGGCAAAAGGCATTATGCAGATGTAATTAAGGTTAAGGATATGGAGATGAGATTATCCTGAAGTATCTGGGTGGGCTCAATCTAATCTCAGGAGAGAGTCAAAGCATGAGAAGAATTCTATGCCCTGTTGCTGCTTTTGAAATGTAGGGCCCGGCGTGGTGGCTCACACCTGTAATCCCAGCACTTTGGGAGGCCAAAGCAGACGGATCACCAGGTCAGGCGTTTGAGACCAGCCTGGCCGACATGGTGAAACCCCGTCTCTACTAAAAATGCAAAAATTAGCCGGGCGAGGTGGCGTGCGCCTGTAATCCCAGCTACTTGGGAGGCTGAGGCAAGAAAATCACTTGAATCCGGGAGGTGGAGGTTGCAGTGAGCCGAGATCACACCACTGCACTTCAGCCTGGGCAATAGAGCGAGACTCCGTCTCAAAGAAAAAAATAATTAAAAAAAAAAAAAAAAAAGAAATGTAGGGGCTTATGTGCAAGGGCAGGGAGAGGACTCTAGGGGCTAATGGTGGGTTCCAGCTGACAGCCAGGAAACAGACCTCAATCCTACATCATAGAACTGAATTCGGTCAACACCTGGATGAGCAAGTGTGGGGATCTTCCCCTAGAGCCTCCAAAAAGAATCAAAATGTGGCTGACACCTTGACTCTAACCTGGTGGGACTCCTCACCTGTAGAACTACGAGATATTAAATTTGCATTGTTTTAAGCCACTAACATTGTGGTTATTTATTACCACACCAGTAGGAAAATAAAACATTCAGTAGAATTTGTAGTTTTCCTTTTATCCTTTTTTTTTTTTTTTTTTTTTGAGACGGAGTTTCACTCTGTTGCCCAGGCTGCAGTGCGATGGCGTAATTTTGGCTCACTGCAACCTCTGCCTCCTGGGTTCAAGCGATTCTCCTGCCTCAGCCTCCTGGGTAGCTGGGACTACAGGCGTGCACCACACCCAGCTAATTTTTGTATTTTTAGTAGAGACAGCGTTTCACCATGTTGGCCAGGCTGATCTTGAACTGACCTCAAGTGATCCACCCGCCTCAGCCTCCCAAAGTGCTGAGATTACAGACATAAGCCACCACACCTGGCATTTTTTTTTTTTTTTTTTTTTTTTGAGACAAGGTCTTGCTTTTTTGCCTAGGCTGGAGTGCAGTGGTGCAGTCACAACTCACTGCAGTCTCGACTTCTCAGGCTGAGGTGATCCTCCCAGCTCAGCTGCCTGCTGGGACTACATATACCACTACATATACCTATACCACTACGCCCAGCTAATTTAATTAATTTTTTGTAGAGATGTATAAAAGCTAACAGTCATTCCCTAGAGGTATAGAATCCTCTAGAAGAGGTCTCCATCCTTCTTCCTCATATCATAGAGATAACCAATGTTAACATTTTAATGAGTGCACTTCCATAGCTTTCTTTGACATGTCAAATATACCCATATATAGCATTTTTTTTTTTGTCACCCAGGCTGGGGTGCAGTGGCCGGATCTCAGCTCACTGCAAGCTCCGCCTCCCAGGTTCACGCCATTCTCCTGCCTCAGCCTCCCAAGTAGCTGGGACTACAGGTGCCCGCCACCTCGCCCGGCTAGTTTTTTGTATTTCTTAATAGAGACGAGGTTTCACCGTGTTAGCCAGGATGGTCTCGATCTCCTGACCTCGTGATCCGCCCGTCTCGGCCTCCCAAAGTGCTGGGATTACAGGCTTGAGCCACCGCGCCCGGCCAGAATTTTTTTTTTGAGACAGAATCTCACTCTCTTGCCCAGGCTGGAGTGCAGTGGTGCAATCTCGACTTACTGCCACCTCTGCCTTCCTGGTTCAAGTGATTCCCATGCCCCAGCCTCCCGAGCAGCTGGGAGTACAGGTGCACGCCACCACGCCTGGCTAATTTTTGTTGCTGCTGTTGTTTTGTGAGACAGAGTCTCACTCTCTCGCTCAGGCTGGAGTGCAGTGGCATGATCTCGGCTCACTGCAATCTCCCTCTCCCAGGTTCAAGTGAT